CTGGAGAGAGATGTCTCAGTGATTTGGAGCACTTGTAAAGGACCAGAGTTAAGTACTCAGCACCCTTGGGGGGCAGCTCATAACTTATAAATTCCAGCTCCAGGATATTTGATCCCCTCTTCCTGCCTCTGTGGCACTTGAGCAGGACACACACACACACACACACACACACACACACACACGATCTTTATTTAAAAAGTTTAGAGTAGATTGGTGATTACTGGAGGCAGAGAAGGGGGGAGGCAGACAAAGGCTGATAGACTGAGTCATACATAGTTGGGAGCAGCAAGTTCTGCTGGGCTATTAAATACATGGTGGGTTGAATGTTTGTACTTCAGAATGTTACAGGAGGGGCTGTAGAGATGGCTCACCAGTTAAGAGCAGTTGCTGCCTTTGTAGAGGACCTGGGTTTGGCTGCCAGCACCCACACAGTGGTTTACAACCATCTGAAATGATGCCCTATTCTGACCTCTGTGGAAGTCAGGCGTGGTGCATATGAATACATGGAACAAAGACACTCCTACACACAAAATAAATAAGTAAATCTTTAGAAGAAAATTTGGTGCTCAGATAATGCTCAGCCTGTGGTGATGGGCAATAGATGGTTCCAGATCCTTACTCCCCGGAAGCAGTCTTCAGCCTGCTCTAGCTAGGGGTGAGACAGTCTGACTAGTCCCCATTTTTGTTGTGTAGACCCAGTTAGAAGGAGACAATGCACTGCTGCTTAACCACCCCGTGTGGAGGATCTCAAGCTGGCATCCTACCCTGTCCTTGGGCTTTCTGTTGTTCCCTGAGGCTGCTCTCCCAGATTTCTTTTCTCACCTTCCAGCAGAGCCAGCTGATCACAGACTAAATATTGCTTAATTTATCTTTCCCCATCTCTCTTCTCCCTCTTGGCCCGTTATCTGTATTTCTGATTGTCTTTTTCATCTGCCCAGCTGAACTAGAGATCTGTGCAGCAGCTACTAGGTGCTCAGCAGCAACTGGAGCTAGGAACTCCACCTTTGTAGTTAAGGACTGTTAAAGTCTCATGATGGAGGACTAGACGTGTGTTCCATGACTCAAGTTTCCTTTCATCTTTTTGTGTCTACTTTGTGCACATTAAGGAAGAGGACGAGGTTAGAGGATAAAGACAGACATAGTGGTGAGCATCTTCCTTTGCGGTGGTAACTGGGTTATTAATATTTACTCAGCAGACGTTCATTAACTGTTCTGTGTGCACTGCCAAGCACCAGGGAGACGGGATAAAAGACTGCCAGCCTCCAAGGAGTTTGCTGTCTGGAGGGAAAGACAGAAATGGCTTGTTTTCTGGTTGTAGTTGGCAGCTCATCGATGTCATTTGGCGTTTATTTTCTGGTTTATCACAAAACTAAATGGGGGCTTGGAACACACACACCACACCAACACACACACACACACACACACACACACACACACCACACTTTATTTAAAGAAGGAAACATGGCAGCTTTGTCACCTTTTGAACTCACTAGTCTTGGAGTAGGCAACCCTCTGCTGTTGATTAAAAGTGGTTGGGCTGAGGGTGTGGCTTAGTGGGTGGAGTGTTTGGTTAGTGTGCTCGAAGCCATGGATTGGATCCCAGCACTGCATTTTAATCCCAGCACTGGAGGGACAGAGACAGGAGAATTTCTGTGAGTTTGAGGCCAGTATGGTCTATGTAGCAAGGTCCAGGACAGCCAGGGCTACACAGAGAGATCTTGTCTGGGGGGAGGGGAGGTTCCAAAGTCATCTAGTGGGCCATCATAGCACACACCTGTAATCCCAGCATTTGAGATGCTGAGGGCCAGAGGATCACCTGACTGTAAGACCAACCATACTGTGAGCTGCTGTCTCTGAAAGAATGAAATGGATTTGAACAAATTGAAACAAGGAGAAAAATGGATAGAAATGTCATGGAATGTAGAGAATTGTAGTTTCATTTTTCCTACAAAAAAAATTACAGTGTTGACTGGAGAGAAGGCTCAGGAGTTAAGAACACTTGCTGCTCCTATAGAAGACCTGAGTTCAGTTCCCAGCACTCTCACAGGGCAGCTCACAGTTGTCTGTAACTTGAGCCCCAGAGGACCCTGGTACCACCCTCTTCTGGCTTGCACTGGGACCCACACACAAACACACACATAAAATTAAAAACAATAAAAGTAAATCTAAACAAAAAGGAATGCCAGTGTCTGAGGCTAGAGATAAAAGTTGATTGGTTAAGTGCTGTCTAGCATGACTAGTTTATGGGGGTGATGCTGCACACCTGTAATCCAGGTATCTGGAAGTGGAGACAGGGTGATTACAAGTTCAGAATGCTCCTGGCTGCATCCTACAGGTAGGCATATACTCAACCAACTTAGCTACTTAGCTATGTCTCCAGCCCTGATTATTTCCTACTTAACTTCATAGGAATAGCCTGAAATTCTTGTGAATTTTTTTCTGAAATTTTAGAAATTAAGAGAGAGAGAGAGTGTGTGTGTGTGTGTGTGTGTGTGTGTGTGTGTGTGTGTGTCATGGTGCATGTATGGAAGACAATTTATGGGACTCAGTTCTCCCGCTATGTGGGTTCCAGGATGTGAACCCTAGTCAGGCTTGGCAGCAGGTATCTTGGAGCCATATTGCTGACTCCCATGAATAGGTTTTCTTTCTCAGTTTAGTATTGCCTGGATTTTTGTTTCTCTTTTTTTTTCCTTTTTTCTTTTTATTGTTTCAAGACAGAGTTTCTCTGTGTAGCCATGACTGTTTCTCTGTGTAGCCCTGACTGTTCTGGAACTCACTCTGTAGATCATGCTGGCACATCAAACTTAGAGCTCCTCCTGCCGCTGCCTCCTGAGTGCTGGGATCAAAGGTGTGCTACTGCTACTCAGTGAATTTTATTTCTTTTTCTTTTCTTATTTTTATTAAAATTATTATTTTTTAAGATTTATTTATTTATTATATATACAGCATTCTGCTTCCATGTATATCTGCACACCAGAAGAGGGCACCAGATCTCATCGCAGGTGGTTGTGGTTGCTGGGAATTGAACTCAGGACCTCTGGAAGAGCAGTCAGTGCTCTTAACCACTGAGCCATCACTCCAGCCCCTTGGTTTGGTTTTTTTGAGATGGGGGTTTCTCTTTGGAGGCTATCCTGGAACTCCCTCTGTAGACTAGGCTGGCCTCAAACTCATAGAGATCTGCCTGCTTCTGCCTCCCAAGTGCTGGGATTAAAGGCTATTTTGACTTTTTAAGACAAAGTTTCTCTGTGTAACAGTCCTGCTTGTCCTGGCACTCACTCTGTAAACCAGGCTGGCTTTGAACTCAGAACTCAGAGATCCACCTGCCTCTGCCTCTGTTCTGGGATTAAAAGTACCGGCCACCTCTGACCATCGAATTTTGTTTCTTATTTGTGTTGTATAAGTGACCAAGTGCCATCTTTAGCTTCTTGCTTTTACACTTTGAAATGAACTTTCAAATAATTTAAGACCACAAAAAAAATTCAAGTGGTTAGGGATTGTAATTGTGTTGGATTTATGTATGATTTTGGAGAAAATAGACAACTATTGTCAAATATCTTCACCCATAAGCACAGAGAATGTCCCTATTATTTCTCTTTTCTTCTTCAACAGTATTTTTAACCTTATTGACGTTAGTGTGTGTTTTTATTAATTTTATTTGTTTCTTGACAATTTTAAATAGTTTTTTTTTTTTTTTTTGAGACTAGGTCTTACTGTGTAGCCCTGGCTGCCTTGGAACTCACTACGTAGACCATGCTGGCCTCAAACAGGGATTTATCTGCCTGCCTTTGCCTCTTGAGTGCTGGTATTAAAACCATGAACTAATATAGGGGGAAAACTCTTGATGAGGAATGATCTAGATTAGGTTGGCCTTTGGACAGATTCATAGGGGTTGTCTTCATTGTTTATTGATGTAAGAAGACACAGTCCATTGTGGGCGGCAGGCATCCCCTATAATTTACTCTCAAACAGCTTAGTGTCTTAGTTACTATCCTATTGCTGTGAAGAAATGCTGTGACCAAAGCAAGTTGGGGAGGAAAAGAATTTATTTGGTTTACAATTCCACATCACAGTCCATCGTTAAAGGAAGTAGCGCAGGAACTCAAACAGGACAGGAACCTGGAGGCAGGAGCTGATACAGAGGCCACTTACTGGCTTGCTCCCACATAGCTTGCTCAACCTGCCTTCTTGTAGCACCCAGGACCACCAGACTGGGATGACTCCACCCACAATAGACTGGGCCCTCCCATCATTCATTAATTAAGGAAATGCCTTGAAGGCTTCCCTACAGCCTGATCTTTTTCTCTATGAGGTTCCCTCTCTCAGATGACTATAGCTTGTGTCCAGTTGACATAAAACTAGCCAGCATTCATAGCAAATAAAAAGTTGGATGTGAATATGTCTGTGTGTACATAAATAAAAGAGAATGAACACAGTGTTACCAGGCTGTGGACCGATTTATGGAAGTATACATTATACCAAACTGTCCTACAGATTCCTGTGAGAGAGGAAAACTGACTAAGGGCAAGCAGGCAAGGCCAGGTTTACTCAGTTCGTGATCTTGACTGTGGATATGATAAGAGCAGCTGCTTGAGTTCCTGCCTTGATTTTTCCCTCCATGATGGAGTGAGGAATTTGTAAGCCAAATAAATTCCCTAAGTTGCTTTTTGTTGGGGGTATTTTTCCCAATAGCCAAAATTAATCTGTACCTACCCTTTTTTGATTTAAACTATTTCTAATCTAATAGGACAGTTAAGAGAGGGATGTAGCACATTCTTCTGTAGCCATGAACAAAGTCCACAGAGTGGTAGCATTGTGGTCGTCCCCTTTATTTATACTTGCACAGACTCACATCCAGCTTTTTATTTGCTAAGCCATTGGAGAAAAAGTTACAGAATTTGTGTCATTTCCTCCTCAATATTTTGCTATGTTATCTCTTTAGAAAGTATAATATTTTTATTAATTGGTTCAGAATTTCATACAATGTTTTCTTTATTTTTATGGGTATGGGAGCTTTGCCTGGATAAGCAAGAAGATGGTGTCGGATCTCCTGGAAGTGATGGTACAGACGGTTGTGAGCCACCATGCGGATGCTGGGAGTTGAACCCAGGTTCTCTGGAAGAGGATCACTTGCTCTTAACCACCGAGCCATGTCTCCATTCCCACAATGTATGTTTTTAAATTTTTATTTATGTGTGTGGGTGTTTTGTTTGTATGTATGTCTGTATACTGTGTGTGTTCCTGGTGTCATAGAGACCAGAAGAGGCTTCAGATTCTGGAACTGGAGTTAGAGATGGTTGTGAGCCACCATGTAGGTGCTGGGAATTGAACCCAGGTCCTCTAGAAGAGCAGCTAGTGCTCTTAACTGCTAAGCTTAACTGCTCAGCCTTCTCTATCCCCCCCATTTCCTTTTTTTTCCTTTTTTTTTTTTTTTTTTTTTTAACCTGGAGATGACCTCATTATATGGTCCTGGCTAGCCTGGTCTCAAATTCACATTGATCTGCATAGTGCTCCCTCCAAGGGATTAAAGTGTAACAATATACCCAGCTAGCCATATACAGTGTATTTTGATCACATTCACCCCACTAATCTTCCCCCAGGTCCACTCAGATGATATGTCCTTCTTAAGACAAAGTTCTCCCATAAGATCTCACCTCACCATGATATGCAAAATAATTGGTATTTAACTCATTACAGTGTGGTGTACTATAAATAATTGCCCTTTTTTAGTAGTTATTACAAATGATTGTATGCTTTTGATTTTATGAACACAGCAATAGTGGTAATTTCATTAGTTACAATTTATCATTAGATTTTCTTATAAATAATGTTAAATTCTTTTTTAAATGATTTACTTATTATATATATAGCATTCTGTCAGCTTGTATGCTATATACCAGAAGGGGGCACCAGATCTCATGACAGATGGTTGTGAGCCACCATGTAGTTGCTGGGAATTGAACTCAGAATCTCTGGAAGAGCAGCCAGTGCTCTTAACCTCTGAGCCGTTTCCCCAGCCCTTAATGTTAAGTTCTTACTGAGTGTAGTAACTTTAGTTCTTTGCTTTTCTTTGTATGTGCTCAGCTGTATCTAAAAATAGTAATTTCTGTTTTTATTTTCTTTTATCTTTCAATCAGATTGATTGTTTTAAGATTTCTCTAATTTTAGTATTATTATTATTGTGTTAGATTGTTATTATATAGGATAACTCATAATTATATGAAAATAAACCAGAACTTTTGTATTTTAGGATAATACACGAGTTGTGAGAGTGAAAGTGATAGCTGGCATAGGCCTGGCCAAGAAAGATATCTTGGGAGCCAGGTAAGTATATGATGGGGTTGGGATTTTAAAACTTGGCATTTCTTAGTTTTTTTCTTGAACTTTGATTAAATGAAAATTTGAATGATAATATTAGCAAATTTTGATGCACAGCGAAATTATTCTTGGTATCTGAATTACTTACTGAATTTATAAAATTAAAGACAGTGATATAGATACATAGATAGATAGATTATTTATAAATTTCTGCTCCCAGAAATTTATAAAATTCTAATTCTCCAAGTCCTTTAGTGTATAACAACCATAATCTCTGGATACAATATAAAAAAAGTAGCTCTCTGAGCAGAGAATGAAGAGAGCAGGGCAACACTTGTGGGGATCCGTACTTGGAGAAAAGAAGTGTAGCGTGTTCCCAATTTTAGGAGTTAGTCTGAGCTGGGCCATGGTGCACTCAGGAGGCAGAGGCAGGCGGATCTCTGTGTGTTCAAGGACAGCCTGGTTTACAGAGCTACACAGAGAAACGCTGTAGCTCTAGGACAACCAGAGCTACACAGAGAAACCCTGTCTTAAAAAAGAAAAAACGAAAGGAATTAGCTTGAATCTACATAGAGTCACAAGGTGGAGCAGTGGTTGGTAGTCTCCACAGCCTGAAAATCTGGAGCAGTGGTATGCACCATGGTGGAGAAACGAGAAGAATGAATCTGAAGGAAGTATGGCCGTGGTGAGGATGCTGGAAGAAAAAAAGTTGGACTCTTAGCTGATGGCAAAAGATCTGAGCAGAGAGTCATTGCCTAACAGAGTTTGTGACCCTTGTCCAAAGAAGGTAGATAAACAGAGGAGAATAACAGAACCCAGAGTTTCTGTAGCTCAGCTTAGAGTGTCCATGGTACAACATGTAATCACCTGGTCTGTAAAGATCCAGGGAAGAGGAACACACTTTTAGACGATGAAGACTGTGAGTGGGCAGTGGTGGCACATGCCCTTGATCCCCCAGAAGCAGGGGATCTCTAAGTTCGAGGCCAGCCTGGTCTACAGAATGAGTTTCAGGTCAGCCAGAGACATACATAGAGAGACATTGTCTCAGGAAAAACCAGAAAATAAAAAAGGAAGGAAGGAATAAAAGTATGCTCATGGTTCATCAAAACATTAGAACTCTCAGGAAGTGGAGACCAAAATAAATAAATAATAAAATAAAGGGAAAATTCCACAGCTAAAATATAGTATTTGAAATTAAAATGCTTGGTGGTTGTGGTAGCAGAGTGTAGAGAAAAGATGAACTGAACTTACATCAAGAGGAATTATTTACCAATTAGAAGATGGCAGGTAAAAAGAAAGTCTGTCATAACTACACTCCAGAAAGAACGGAGAGCTAAATAATGAAATAAAACATGTTTACAGAATAAGTGTTCAAGCTGGTCAGTGGTACCGCTCCCTTTGATCCCACCACTTGGTAGGTAGAGGCAGGGGGATCTCTGAGTCCTGATCTATACAGTGGTTTCAGAACAGCCAGGGCTATACAGGGAAACCTTGTGTTGGGGGAAAAAAAGAATAAGTGAAATCAATGAAACACTAATTTCTATTATCGGAAACATTGTTCTGAAGAGATGGCTCAGCAGATAGGAGCCTGTACTGCTCTTACAGAAGACCATTCCCAATGAGTTGCCTATGGCCAACTCCAGGGGATCTGATGCCCCCTTCTGGCCTCCACAGGCACTGTACTTACATACACACACATAACAAATCTTTTTAAAGAAGAAATGTTAAAGCAAGTTGCTCCTGGTGAAGAGAATTGATGCCAGATGGACGCACAGACCCTCAGGAAGGAAAAGAACACCAGAAACAATAAACGCCTGGAATCTACAGATACTTCTTTTAATTAAAAATTTTATTTGTGTGTGGGTGTTTTGTCTTTGTGTATATATGTGTGCCTGATGCCCACAGAGGTCAGAGAGGGTGTTGAATCTCCTGTAACTGGAGCTATAGATGGTTTTGAACTGCCATGTTTGTGCTCAGAATCACACCTGGGTCCCTTGCAAGAGCAGCAAGTGCTTTTAACCTTATACAGGGCCCATTGGAGTCATAGTTCACAACCTTGTCTTATGGATTCATATTATAAAGCGCATACTGTGGCAGTTACAGCATAAAGGACAGGGGTGTGTACATTGTATGAGGTCTGCTGTGAACCTATATGGAAGAATGGTATAATAGCATAGGTAAAGCGAGTAATTAAGGGTATATAATAGAAACCATAAATAAGCCATCCACAGTAATGCAAAGAATTACAGGTTTTGTAAAAGCAGAAATTTTGTTTCTGTCTTTTTTTGGTTTTGGTTTTTGTTTTGAGACAGGGTTTCTTTGGCTCTCCTGGAACTTGCTCTGTAAGCCAGGCTGCCCTAGAACTCAGAGATCTACCTGCCTCTGCCTCCTGAGTGCTGGGATTAAAGTTGTATATTACCATGCCTGGCTGTGAAAGCAAAAATTTATATATGAAGTTCTTGAAAAATATTAAAAAGCCAGTACAAAACAAATTAGAATTTTTTGTTTGTTTTTTGTTTTGAAAGGGGCTGGGCAAGGGAAGAAAAATATGAGTTGTAGACTTTCATCTAGTCATGTCAGTAATTACATGAAACAAACATAAAATAGAGGGTATTACAATAAATTAGAAAGTAAGACTCATTAGACCTGGTGTCCCAGTCCTATAATTCTAGCACTCAGGAGGATTGTGAGTTCTAGGCCAGCCTGAGCTACATGGTGACACATTCAGAAATCTAGGGTTGGAGTGGTCTGTGTTGAATCCCTGGTAGTGAGGGATGTATGGGGGTTGGGGCGGGGTCCTGCCATCACTAGAGGTTGTGCTGACAATATTTAAGGGACTGAAGAGGCTGCTCAGGGTTTTAGTTCTAGAGGACTGGATTTTGGTTTTCAGCACCTGTATCTGCTGGCTCACAACGATCTACAACTCTAGCTGCAGGAGAGCCACTGCCCTCTTCTGGCTTCTGCAGACATTGCATGCATAAATAATGAAGCAACTCTTCAAAGAAAGATAAGCTTAAAATACAGTGACACAGTTAAGTTGGGAAAAATGGTTTCAAAATTGGTATGATAAAGATTAAAGTGAATACATTAAAATCTGATGAAATGAGGATTCAACATGAAACTATTTCCAAATATTTCACAATCGTAATAAAATCATCAGGAATGTTAATAGTTAGAAATGGGGTGTATGCCTATCAGTAGAACTTGGAGATGTATGGCTCAAAATTTGACAGAATTAAAGGGAAAATGGAAAATTCTATAATAATGGATAAAAGCACTCATGCTTTTTTCAGAACTGTTAAGACGGACACTTTAATAAACTTCACATCAGGGGGCTGGAGAGATGGCTCAGTGGTTAAGAGCACTGGCTGCTGAACACCTGAGTTCAATTCCCAGCAACCACACAGTAGCTTATAATCATCTATAGTGAGATCTGATGCCCTCTTCTGGCTTAAAGGTGAATACTCATACGCATAAAATAAATAAATCTTTTTTTAAAAAATCAAACGCGGCTGGAGGGAGAAGGCACCACAGATAAGAGTGCTTCCTGCTTTTGCAGAGAACCCAAGTTCGTATCCCAGCTCCTGTGTCTGGTAGATCACAGCTGCCTGTACTCCAGTCCCAGAGATATCCAAAGCCTCTGGCCTCTGCAGGCACCACTACTCATGTGCACAGACCCCCACACATAATTTTTAAAAATCTTTAAAACAAATTTATAAAGTATTACAAATAATTTTGGCCTAAAGGATATATTCTAATGGCTGCAAACCAAACATTCTGGACTGTAAAATAGATGTTCAAATGTACACAGCACATTGACAGTCACAGACCATGTGAGGATTGTGTATCTCTTGCTGTCTGATGACGTTGACCACAGCTTGGTGTCTCGACTGAGCATGTGTTTATTATCTCACAGTCTGTGAGTCAGACACCCCTGGAGTCTTTAGTTTGACTCACTGCTTCAGGGTCTTACAAAGTGGCTGTTATGTGTTTGTTTCTAATTCAGTCGTGAGGTCTCTCAGGGGATGTCTATAAACTCTAGACCTATCCTCATGCTCTGGGCATTTCACTGTGTCGTCATCAGAGTGTCTTTGTGGTCCTTCATCCTGTTGTAGAACCTCATGCCACCAGATGTGCTTCAGGAAGTTTACATGTCTTGGCCAATGTCCTGTGACTCTTGTCTGATCTGTGTCCAGGTTATTCTCACCCAGGGGCCTGTCTCCAGGGGAGAAGTTAGGTTCAGGGTGTCATGCAGGTAAACACAGAGGAGACAACTCAACAAAATCACAGAAACACTTTAAAACTACGTAGTTCTCAGAAGAGTGAAATACCCTTCACCGGCAAGAGACAACTGGGGAGACCCTAGTAGTATGTATGTTAGCGTATGTGGGTGAGGGCATTGCAGGCTGAGAACTTTGGAGTTCAGTGTGTAACCCATGTTATCAGGGAGTTGTAACTGATTAGAGTTTAGAACAAGCTACTGTGGGTTTTGTGGTGTCATGCTGTCCCTGAGAAGTCTCTATGATGTTCCTACATATTCCATCCTGAGTGCAGATTCAGTGGGAGCTCAACTGTGATGTGTGATTACCTAGGAAGTAAGTATATAAATCAGCTACACTGAGGAAAGGGAAAGAAATAGAAGACCGTTAACATTAAAGGTGTGTGCTTCCACGCCTAGCAATTTTTATAGGTTTTATTTGACATTATATAGTTTGTTGTAAAAACTATGGATGAGATTAGAAAGGGAAATGTAGAGAACAGGAGGTTAGTTGAATACCTTAGGGAATAGAGGTGTGAAATTTGCTGACAATAGAAAAGGGGCTTAAGAAAGACAGAGGGATGGCTGAGGACATAGGTACAAATGTGCAAAGCCCTGGGTTTGATCCATAGCACCACATGAACTGGATGAGGTGCCTGTTTGGTTTGGTTTTTGTTTTTCTTTTCCTCTTGTAGACCAGGCTGATCTCGAACTCTGCCTGCCTCTGCCTCCAGAGTGCTGAGATTAAAGGCGTGCGCCACCACCGCCCGGCTGTGATGCACGCCTGTAATCCCAACATTTGACATGGAGATGTTAGGGCCATCTGGGCTACGTGGTAACCTGTCAATAAGAGAGAAGGAGAAAAGAGGAATTTAGGGGTAAGATCCCAGAGTATTTCAAAGCGTTTTCACAATAGATCTGAGGACAGAGACATAAACTATTCTTAGTGGTCCTAAAGAGCCGTGGGAATGAAGGGAGGGAGAAAGAGAGGTCACTGCTTTGGCTGAGTGTTGTTTTCAGTGGAGCAGGTGCTGTAGTCTCAGCCCTCTCCCTACAGTGTAGTCCTTACAACTTGGAGAAAAGGTTAATAGCTGGCCCTGATCCACAAAAGCTGCTTTGAACAGTCTTTGATGTGGAGTAGTTGATGTGTAAGTGTTATTGCCAAGCATAATTTACAGTTTCTCTTGTAAAGTTTAACTGAGAAAGGAAGAAAAAAACGTGTTCCACTCTGCTTGAAGGAGGGGAGTCAGGAATAGAGGCGTTTCAAAACACAGTGATATACCTAGAAAAACTAGGTCAAAGGGAAAGCTGGAGGATAAAGGAGTTGGTGAAATGCCCTGATTTGGGGCCTCTGAGGTGGAGAGCACTGGACAAGTGGATCAGTTCCACACAGGAGGAGAGAAGGAAGGAGGGTGGGTCCTAATTAGTGCCAGTGTGTTGGGAGTGGGCTTTGTAAATTAAAGTATGAAAGTGTAGGAGGAAACAAGGGAGGTGGTAGTGAGAAGGGTCAGTACTAGCTCTGAGATACATAAGAGAAAGTGGCTGAGTAAGTTTTTGTGCTCTTTAAAGCCCAAGTGTCACAGATTGTCCTCTTCCATGTCTCCCTTTAGTAAGCTTTCTGGGACTGGAGAGGGCTCAGCAGTTCAGAGCACTTACTGGTCTTGCAGAGAGCCTCAATTTACTTCCCAGTACCTATGTTAGGTAGCTTTGTAACTCTAGGTCCAGGGGACCCACACTTGTACACAAACACACACATATGAGTAAAAAATAAACTGAGCCTTAAAAGAAACTAGAAGGGCTTCTATAACATGTAATTTTATTTGTTTTTGAGACAGGGTCTAATCATGTAACCCTGACTAGCTTCAAGAGCTGCTTGCCTCTGCCTCCTGAGTTCTAGGACTAAAAGGTGTGCCCCACCATGCTTGGAAAGATGTGATCATTTTTAACTTCAGTTTATCTTATTTTAATGTAAAGATTTAATTTAGTCTGAAGATTTAACATTTTAAGATTTACTTATGTTCACTTATGTATATGTACATGAATTGATGTGCACCACGTGTGTTCAGGTCATTGCTATGGAACAAGGTTTACAACATGAGATGGTTTGAAAAGAACTGTGGTCTTGAAAAGCTAGTTTTACAGCCCCTGAATTAGCCACCGATTTATCTAAAAAGTTTGTAAGGCACCAGAACTATGGGTAAGAGGTCTGCACTATAAGTCTTTGCCTGTTTTACTAACGTGGTACTTAAGTGCTTTTTTTTTTTTTTTTTTTGTTTTTCCAGACAGTGGTTCTCTGTGTAGCTTTGGAGCCTATCCTGGCACTCCCTCTGGAGACCAGGCTGGCCTCGAACTCACAGAGATCATCTGCCTCTGCCTCCCGAGTGCTGGATTAAAGGCGTGCGCCACCAACGCCCGGCCTGGTACTTAAGCTTTTTAAACAAAATCTGTTTCTGCAAATGGTTTAGCCTGCTTATAGATCCCTGGCTTTTAAGGATTCAAAGTTATAGAAATAATAAAATAGTAGCAACTGTTAGCAAGGAAAACTCTGAAAATCTGATAATGTGAACTGTTGGACTGAATATCTTTGTTTTTAACAGTGACCCTTATGTGAGAGTGACATTGTACGACCCGATGAGTGGCATCCTTACCAGTGTTCAGACAAAAACTATCAAAAAGGTTAGATTTTGCCAGTTTCCAAAAATGTTTAAAAAACTAGTTTTTTATATTGACAAATTATTAAAAAATAAATTACACTATGTTTATTATTGTCTTTTAGTCTTTGAATCCAAAATGGAACGAAGAAATACTGTTCAGAGTAAGTATGCATTTTATTTTATTAAAAAAGAAAAAATATTTTTCTTTGTAGGTAATATTAAATACTCATTTACAATATTCCAAAAATACATCTTGGAATTTGCCTAGAGTTTTGAATTTTTTTTTACTTGTAGTACATGTGTGGAGGTCAGAAGACAGCTCTGAGCTTGGCTCTCTCCTGCCACCTTTTTGTGGGTTCCCAGGATCAAACTCAAGCTCCAGGCTTGCATAAAAAATCTTAACCTACTGAAACATTTCACTGGACCCAAAATATTTTAAAGAAAATTTAAAATTTTTTTCTGAGAGTCTTGCTGTGAACTGTGGCTGGCTTGGGACTAGCTATATATACCAGACTGGCCTTGTCCTCACAGAGTTCCATTTGCCTCTGCTTTCTGAGTGCACCACCATGCCCAGGTGCCCAGCAAAAATTTTTAAGGAGAGTGAAAATTAGGGGTTGAGGAGATGGCTCAGAGGTCAAGAGCATTTGTTGCTCTTAACAGAAGACCTGGCTTCAATTCCTATCACCCATATTGATTTAGTACCATCTGTCACTCCAGTTCCAGGGATCCATTGCCCTGTTCCTACCTCTGAGTGTACCAGGCACACATGCACTTGTCCACCTAAAGTAACTAAATAGATCTTTTAAAAGAGAGTTAAAACTAGGAACCCTCTGATGATATGGTAGGACCATTAATCTCACTATGAAAAATAATTGTAAGATGATGGAGTAGTGAAAGATGTATCTGGAGGCTGGGAATGCCCCGTTGTAATAAACTCAAGTGATGGAGAGATGTAGAGTGCTCTTACTCCACTTTAGAACCGTGAGGGCGTGGAGTGGTGGCTAAGTAGATGCTGCTCTTACACACCCTTCCTTGACCTGCCAGCCTTCTCACCTCACCTTAGATTCCAACCATGACTCCAGCTCCCAGGAGAGACTCTGAGGGGCCTGTTTCTCAAGTCCTTATTGTTGCCCGAAGGGTAAATCGTTTCTGCTTGTGTTTTATTTAAAATAGTTTTCCTGTCTCGGTTTCCCCTTTACCTGTGGGCTCATGCATGGCCAGTGTTCTTAAAAGGCGTATCTCCATTCATTTCTGCTTCTCCAGTGTACTCTTCATCGCTCTGACCTACCTCACACCCAAGGTCACTGTGACTCTCATCTGCCAGGCTCCTCTCATCTCTTCCCCTTGGTGCAATGCTCTTCTGAGTAAATATTTATTTTGTTTTACTAAAACAAAAACAAAAAAAATTGAATGTGGCTGCAGATGTGCTGAACACTTGGTTTCAGTCAGGGAAAAGAATCCTCTTGCCTGCGTACAGTCCAAGGTTTATGTTTGCTGTTTTCAGTTTTGATGAAGAGCAACAGAATGGAGGAGGCTGTTGAAGGTAGACACAGAGGAGCCCCTGAGGGTCCAGCGCCAGCAGAGCGCTTCAGAGACGGTTTTCCTTCCCTCTGCTCAGTGTGGCAGAACCGGCATTTGAAACCCGTCTGAGATTTTGGATTCTTGAAGAAATGGCAGAGTTGGTTAGAGTCATTTAGAGAAAAGTGAAACTAACCTTTGGTTTTACTTTTTAAGCCAGAGGCCGCCTTGGATGGTTTCCTTGGCATGTGTATTGCTTAGGAATTTTTCAAAGTCCTCCCAAGTGGCTCGGTTGCTTATTCAAAATTTATTATTATTTTCCGTATTGTATTTTGCTCAGAAGTTTGTGCATTTTCAGTGTACCAACATTTTCTTTGCACCTCTTTCTCTCTCTCTCTCTCTCTCTCTCTCTCTCTCTCTCTCTTGAGAGAGAATCTCATTCAGGCTTGGATCTCAGAGATCAGCTGCCTCTGCCTCCTGAGTGCTGGGATTAAAGGTGTGTGCCACCATGCCTTGTTCTGCTCTTTGTAATATTAACTCATCATTGCTGTTATATCGTAGTAGTTCCAGTACTGATGAGTGTGTATTTGTCTCTTTTTGCATACCATTTATTTATTTAGGTTTTTTTTTTTTTCAGGCAGGGTTTCTCTGTGTACCACCATACCCAGCTCTTTCATTATTTTTGATTCATTTACTTCCCATGAAAGAGCTAACAGAAAGATGTTACAGAAGGGAATGAATTAAAACTAAAATCCATCTTTTTTGTCTTCATCTCTACTTGCCTTGAGATTATTTATTTATAATTCTTGCTTTTTAACCACAAGCAAATGTGAAAATTGATTATAAAAATGTCCTTGATGACTTCATAATATAGGACGATCTTTTTTTAAAATTAACTTTTTAGGTTAGCATACAAAATAAATCATCCCATAATGGTACTTTCAAGCATTTGTCATCATTCTTTGTTCTCACTAATCCCCTGTTCCACAGCCTTCCTTGACACGCCCCACCCCCTCCCAGCTGGCTCTTTTCTCCAGTTATTCCCCATTTCCCTTTCTGTTGCCCTCCATTCCCCACCCCCGCTAAGATCTCTTCCTACTTACTGGTTGGACGAGTTGATTCTTTGGTAGTTTAATTTCTGGGGTCATATGACATGTGGCTGACACATATTACACCCATTCTACAGGTTCTCTTCACTCTGGCAAGGTTTGCTTTGCTGTACAGAAGCTTTTTAATTTCATATAATCAAATTTGTCAAATTTTGTGATTACTTCTTACATAATTAACATCTTTATTAGCACCAGAAAACCCTTGCCTATGCCTGTATTTTGAAGTGTGTTCCCTGGGCAGTTAAAACTTTGGGGTTTACTTTACGCCTGTAATGGATTTTGAATTGGTTTTTGCACAAGATAAGGGTCTGGCTTCATTCTTTTGCTTTGGGAGTCCACCCAGAATTAAAGCAGCTGTTTTCTCCAGGGTATGTTTTCAGCAGTTTAGTCAAACATAGGGTGGCTCTATTGTGTCGATTTAGTCCTCTCCTCCATTCCTTTCGCCTGCTTACCTGATTAGGTGCCACTACCCTGGCGTTTTGTTACTATGTAACATTGTCTCTTCTGCTTAGGATTGATTTAGCTGTTTGTCTTTTTATCCACCTGAATCTTAGGAATTTTTTTTCTAGTTCTGTGAAGAATTTCATTGGGGTTCTGATGGGGATGGGATTGATTTTGAAGATTGCTTTTGGTAAGAGCCATTTTCACAATACTAAATCTTCTAGTCTCTGATTGTGGAGCATTTTTCATTTCCTAGTGTCTTCAGTGTCTTGAACTTCTCATTGTAGGGGCCTTTCACCTCATAGGTATTTAAGTTTTTTTGGTTAGATTTATTTTGTATTTCATTTTATATGTATGAGTGTTCTCCTTGCATGCATGCATGTAAAATGCTTATGTGCTTGAGGCCCCTAGGTCAAAAGAAGGCATTGGATCCTCTGGAACTCATTTTGACCCACCATGTAGATGCTGGGAACTGACCCCTGGTCCTCTGTAAGAGCAGCAAATGCTGCTGAACCAGCAGTTAAGAGCATTTCCACAGATTTTTTTGTTCTTTTGTTCTTTTTTTTTTTTAATTTCTTGCTGGTATCTTAAAAAATCTGTTTTTTGCATCTACTGATGCACATCTACTGATTTTATAGCTGCTGCTTTGCTGAAGTGTTAATTAGGTTTAAGAATTTTCTGGTGGAGGATTTAGGGCCTTTTAAATAAATGATCAGTCATCTGCAAGGAGCCATAATTTTGACTTTTTCATTGTGGACCTTTTCTTATTTCTACTGAGGCTGAGACTTCTATCTCTAAATAAAATAAGAGTAGAAAGTGGGCAACCTTGTCTCTATCAAGATTTTAAAAACTATACTATCAGTTTAGCATAATGTTGGCTATAGGTTTGTCACAACAGCCTTTTATTATGTTAGGGTATGTTCTTTCTACTCCTAGTTTCTTTGGGGAACTTTGCCAAAGGTCTTTCACATTGGTTTAGGTGATCATGTGATTTCTACCCTAAAGTCTGTGTATGTTCACTGGTTGAGATGATAACAAGATTTCTTTCCTTAGCTCTGTGTATGTTCTGCTTAAGTTCATTGTTTTGCATATGTTAAACCAAGCTTATGTCCCTGGAAGTGAAACCAGCTTGATCATGGTGCACCTTTTTATTGTATTCTTGATTTGATTTACAGAAATTTTAGTGAGAGGTGTGTGTGTGTGTGTGTGTGTGTGTGTGTGTGTGTGTGTGTGTGTGTGTATGTTGTGTGTGTGTTCATTGGGGAATTGAACAATTGCTTTCTTTGTTTTGTCCTTTTCTGGATTTGGTGTTGGGTTAACACTGGCCTTGTAGAATGAGTTTGGTGGCATTCCTTCCCTGTCTACTTGATAGAACAGATTGGGGAACATTGATGTTGACTTTCATTAAAGGCTTGTCTGAATTCATGAGTGGGTCTGTCTTGTTCTGGACCTTCTTGTTTGGGTGACTGTTGATCATGGGGCTCTTGTGAGTGACTCTTTCCACCTCCTGGATGTAAGGTGTTACATCCTTGAAGCATCTTCTGTAACACTGGCTTGATGATTGTGAAATGCTTGTATAGATATGTCCTTCTTTCCTCACCATTGTAAAAAGACAGCTATTCCAGTCTAGCACTCTTGGTTGGTATGCATTTACTTTCATGCCTTAAAATGTATCATTCCACACTTTCCTGGTTGCCAGCTTGTTGATGAGAGACGTAATGGTATTCTGATGCTTCCGCCATAGGTGAGCTTATTGTCTTACAGCTTTTCATGATTCTGTGTGTGTGTATGCGACTGCGCACACACATGTACATGTATGTGGAGGTCAGAGGACAACCTTCGGTGTCTTTGTTACTCAAGCATCACTCGCCTTACTTTTTGATAGAAGCTCGCTCACTGGCCAGCAGGTCTCATTGATTTGGATGGGATAGCTGGACAGTAAGCTTACCTCTGTCTCCCCATTATTGGGATTACAAGTGTCTGTCATTGTGTCCAACTTTTTATGTAGGGTCTGCAGGGTCACACTTGGGCCCTGTCAAGATTGATTTTATTTTCTTGTGCGATATGTGTGTATTCTTTGTGCGGGTGTGTGCGTGTGAGAGTAGGTGCCTAGAGTCTGTGTGGTTGTGTAAGTGTGAGTGTGAGTGTAGGTGTCAGATCCTCCTGGAATTGGAGTGAAATGTGTAAGATGTTGAAGTAAGGCTGTGAGCTACCATGTGGGTGCTGGGAATCAAACCCCAGTCCTCTGGAAGAGCAGTAAATGCTCTTCACTGATAAGCCATCTCTTCAGCCCCTGATTCATTGAGTTTTAATTTTTAACATTTCTTTTTCCCTTTATCTCTTAATTTCCTTGCTGAATTTTTCTTCCTCCTTTCTGACTATTTCATCCATATTGCTGAATTTCTCATCTTTCTCAGACATGAAATAGATGCTATGGAGTGGGATGCCACTGGCAGTTCTCTACCCATAAATCTGTCAATTTTTAAGATACAAACTATCAAAGCTTACTTAAGAAGAGATAAGTTGTCCAAATACTACCATATCTACTAAAGAAATTGATTTTTCAGTTAAAAGCATTCAACAAAAAATTTAACCTCCATAGTTACACTTGATGACATCTGTCACACATTCTATACAGTGTCTCTTGAAAAATCGAAGAGGAGGGGACATGTTGCAGTTTGTTCAAACCAGCAGACTTTTACCAAAACCAGATGTGGACCTTGAGAGAACAGAACTGAACATCATTAGTGTTCTAGTTTCATTTCTGTTGCTGTGATGAAACCCTGGCCAAAAGCAGGAAGGGAAAAGAGTTTAGTTGGCTTACACCTCAAGTAGCTGCTCACACAAAATCCATGCTGAAGAGCTGAGAGAAATGAAGTACCCATGCTGCTTGCTTTCATCTAACTTGCCACTGTTTTATATAGTACAGGTACCCATCCTAGGAAATGGTACTGCCCACAGTGGGCTGGGCCTCCTACATCAAATTAATTGTCAATTTTGTCCCCCAAAGACCAACCTGATAATGACAATCACTGTGTGTGAGCGGGAGTGTGTGTGTGTGTGTGTGTGTATGTGTTGCTGGGGATTGGATCTGTGGTTTTGAAAGTGTTGGGCAAGCACTGTACCACTGAGTTTATGACCAGTCCTAGTTACCACCTGATAAGATGCAGCGTTACCCCAAATGATTTTAAGTCAGACGACATTTTTATGAATCCACAAAATTAGAAATGTCACTTAAATGTGACTTCTCATGTGTCTTACGGATACCAGTATATTGGTAGGAGAGAATTTAAGAGATCGTTGAAGGAAATGTCTCTTGGTAGGGGCTATAGATTTTGCTTGCCCCCTCCCTTTTCTGTCTGTCTGAGTATATGTGCACATCATGTGTTTAGATACCAAAGGACACCCATTTTCATTGGGAAAGGATCTGTCACTGACTTATAGTGTACCAGTCTGGCTGGTCACTGAGTCCTAGGGATCTGCCTGTTTCCCCTGCCCTGTGTTGGTTTTGGAAGTATGCCTCACCTCACCTCATGGGCTCTATTACATGGTTTCTAGGGACTGAATCTAGGTCCTCATGCATACAAGCAAGCATTTTACTGACTGAGCTCTTTCTGCAGCCCAGAAAATTTCCTAATAGTGTAGTTACTTATATATACATGTGCAATGTGAGTATAACCCTGGCTTGATGGTGTCAGGTTGGGGAGGAGTTGTAAGGTGGAGCCAGGAGAATCAGAAGTCCAAGGCCAGCCTCTATTACATAGTTTGTGACCTGCCTGGGCTACTCACTCTCTGTAATGTGGAATGTGATGGTACACCTGCTGTCAGGTATCCAGGAACTGAGGCAGAAGGATCACTTGAACCTAGGATTTTGAGATGAGCAGGTCCAACATAGCAGGACTCTGCCTCAAATGTAGATAGACACAATAAGACCATTCTTAAAAAGTGTAACTCCAGCGCTAAGGGAAGAAGCAGCTTGATAGCTGATCAGCTTACCTGTAATGTGAAATTGCAGCTTTGAGAGATCCTTTCTCCAAAAAAACCTGACCTCCAAACACATAGCAAAGGTGAGCACATTTGCACACACATTACAGATGCATACATCATATTTTGTCTAACCTTTGTTTTATGCTTAATTCTTTGATTAGAATTAAAATTTTTTTTTTTTTTTTTTTTTTTTTTTTTTGTCTGAAATGTGAAATTGCAGCGGTCCTGGAATTCTCTCTGTAGACCAGGCTGACCTCAAACTCAGATCCGCCTGCCTCTGTCTCCTGAGTGCTGGGAGTAAATGCATGTGCCACCATAGCCAGGCTTGTGTAATTTTGTCTACCCTCCCCAAATTGAGGACCAAATCCAGGGCCTTGCTTGAGATAAATCCCTAACCCCTTTGTCTATTTTTCCTTAGCTTTGTATTCTATATTTTGAGAAACCACCCCAAATTCACCTTAAATTATTTCCATTTGATTCTGACAGCCTTTGTTCTCTAGTAACTTTCATTCTGTAGTGTACTGTTTGATTTTGATGTTTTGTGCATGTGAGTGTCCTAAGCGTCTCTAAGAAGGCTGCTTATAGTTTAATTTTTCTTACCTTAGCTACTTTATTTTCTTTGGGAAGCATCTATGATGTGTTTTTACTTTTATAATTTTACTTAGGTGTATGTGGGTGAGCCTGTGTGAGTTTGTATGCACCATGCAGAGGCCTGCAAAGGCCAGAAGAGGGTGTTGCATCCATAGAACTGGAGTGATGGCTAAGTTGCCATTTTATGCTGGGAACTGAACTGGGGTCCTCTGGCAGAGCATTGAGTGTCCTTAACCCTTGAACCACTCTCCATCCCCTAATGGCTATGATTTTCTGGTGATCTAATCATACTTAGCATTTATAAAATGGAAAAACTTTGCATAGCTTTTGTATATATAATATATACATATTCAGAGATTATATTTTACAGTTTTGGTTGCTGTTTATATTTTGTGCACTGCAACTGAATCCTGAGCTAAATGCCTTCCTGAAATCAGATATTAAGAGAAGATCTCAAATAATGAATAATGTGTGTGTGTGTGTGTGTGTGTGTGTGTGTGTGTGTGTGTGTGCACACGATAGTGTGACCATCCAGAGGTTTGGATGGTACATGAAGCACTCTCATTTGTGGAAAGTGGTACCCTTCGATTCAACACAGGGTTCTTTGGCTGATGTGATGGTTATCTTTGTCAATTGAATATAATATAAAGTCTGCTGGACAGTGGTGGCACACACCTTTAATCCCAGCACTTGGGAGGCTGAGGCAGGCAGATCACTGAGTTTGAGGCCAGCCTGGTTTATAGAGTGAGTTCCATTATGCCCTTCGCAGGGGATTCTAGTCTGTGTAAGTACAGTACCCAGGACTTCATGCTTACACAGCAACTACTATATCCACTGAGCTCCTTCCTAAATTTTGTTTCCTTTTTGAGACAGGTTTTCACTGTGTAGCCCTGGCTGGCCTGGAACTCATCTTGTATACCAGACTGGCCTAGAACTGCCTGCTTCTGCCTGTAGAATGTTGGGGTTAAAGGCATGTACTATCATGCCCTGCCTGAGTATATTTTTATATGACATCTTCAACCCCTGATACATTTTTTAAAAAGTAGTTTTGTTACGTTTGGTATGAAGTAGATTTTATCTATTGTAATATTTCCGCAAAAATATAAGACATTAGCTTTGAAAAATTCTACTTATTCTTACAACAACAAAAAGTATTTGAATTCAGGAGACCACGGGTGACATCAGTATGGCCTGGATGTGTAATTTAGCTGTGTAACTGGATCACATTTTGGAGATGTCTTGGCATCTGTGGCTGGATGTTCATGTTTTTAAAGAAAGGTTGTTTCTCTTACCTAGGTCCTTCCACAGCAGCATCGGCTTCTTTTCGAAGTGTTTGATGAAAACCGATTGGTAAGTTAAGTTACCCTGCATGAGTGTGAAGGATGAATGCATCAAGGGTGAACTTCAGGAGTGGGGGGAGGTTCAGGAGCCCGTGATTGGAGAAACAGAAGGGCTGCTTATGGAGGTTCCGTGCTTTTCTTTCCTGTTTCCTGGAGCTGACCCTACCATTCCAGTCTGTTTCCAAGTACCTCTCCTGGTTGTCAAGATTGTAAGATGGAGGAGGGAAAGCCCTTCTTTTGTTTCCCATGCCATGTACTTTGAACACCAGATTGTATGCAGTTGTGTGTATTTACCACAGAATTATACCCCCCCCAATGTACGTACGTACATAAAAAGTACGTGTGTGTGTGTGTGTGTGTGTGTTTTTTTTTTTTTTTTTTTTTTTGTGTGTGTGTGTGTGTGTGTGTGTGTGTGTGTGTGTGTGTGTGTGTGTCCCACCAGTTTCAGTGGAGGTCAGAAAACAACCTCCGGTCACATTTGCTTGGAGCTCTGCTAGCTAGGCAAGGCTATATCTCTGAGTGTCCTGGAACCTGCCTAGCTCCACCTCCTATCTCCCAGTGCTGGGTTTACATGCTCGCCACCACACTCATCCTTGTATGTGGATCCTGGGAAGGTAAGTCCTATGGTAGCTCTTCTTAAGGTTGCCCGTGCTTAGTTTCAGTGTCCATCCATTGTCTTATCCCAGCTGTCCTATAATCCTGGGCACGCCGAAGGGGATTAGCATCATTCACAAAGGCCAGAACAAAGCCAAACCGTATTGCTTTTGTTGTTGTTTTTGCTTTTGAGATAGCGTCTCCCTAAGTAGCCGTGGCTGTCCTGGAACTCACTTTGTAGCTCATGCTAGCAGTGAACTAGTGACTCTCCTATTACTGCCTCCTAAGTGCTGGAATTACGGGCCTGAATCTCCATGCACAGCCTGGTTTCATTTTATAAAATGGATCATTCTGCTTCGTGCCTTCCTGAAAAAAAAAAATCTGGAAGCCCTGTAATTTTCCTCCTCTTTGCTCTTTAGGATGCCTTCTCAAATCTTCCCGAGAGGCTTACATTTATATTTTATACTTGTAAGATCTGAACATGTGGATTGTGGTAGTCAGCTTTCCAGCTCACTGACAAAATATCTGAGAAAATCCACCAAAAGGAGGAAAGACTTAGTTGGCTTGTGCTTTTAGGGGTTTTAGCCCACAGGCACTTAGGACTGCTTGGGGGCCTGTGATGAGACAGAGCATCATGGGAGAAATGTCTGGTAGAACAGAACTGCTCACCCTTGTGGTGGGGATGGGGTGTCACTTTCATAATGTAGTGCCTACCTCCAAACCTATTAAGCTGTTAATTTATCAATTAATCTGTTGTTGCGGTCAATGCTCTCATGGTCCAGTCAAATCCCATATCTGAATGCTGGTGCAAAAGATCAATCTTTTACACATGAGCTTTCAGCACACTTCAGATACAAATTTTAACGCATATAAAAATAGTTTTAAGTATTCAGTCTTTTTTGGTTATTAAATATAAACACCAGAAAGAGGAATTACATAATCTGAATCACTTTTATAACTAGTGGTTTGAGGTCTCGAAAAATGGTTTACTAGTTAAAAATGTCTGCTATACCGTTATGAGAACCAGAGTTTGGATCTCAGTATCAGGATAGCAAACAGGTGTCCTGGAAATGGCAGTAACCCTGCTCATAGAGGAGTGGAGACAAGAGGATTACTGCTGATTGCTGGCTTTCAGCCTACCAGGGAAACCATGAGATCTGGGCTAGGGAAGCGACTGCCTTAAAAGAATAGTGGACTGTGATACATGTATACATACATGTCTACATCAACTCACATTGAACACACACACACACACACACACACACACTCACACAAATAAATGATTGTGTAATGAAACTTATTTTGGGGGGAGGGGTTTGAGACAGGGTTTGTCTGTGTAACTTTGGAGTCTCCTAGAACTCGCTCTGTAGACCAGGCTGGCCTCGAACTCACAGACATATGCTTACCTGCCTCTTGAGTGCTGGGATTAAAAGTGTGTGCCACCATCGCCCTGCTGGAGCAAGCACTCTTAACCAGAATCATCTCTCCAGCTCTGGTGATTTATTTTTTTAAATCATGAAATGAGCATATGAATAAGAATACACAGTCCAGTGCTGGAGAGATGGCTTAGTGGTTGAGAGCACTGGCTGTTCTTCCAGAGGTCCTGAATTCAAGTCCCAGTACCCATTTGGTGGCTTACAACCATCTATAGTGGGATCTGATACCCTCTTCTGGCATAAAGTTGAGAGAGCACTCATATACATAAAGTAAGTAAATAAATCTTAAAATAAAAAGAATACACAGTGCAAATATGTTTAGTTTAGTTTAGCAAGACAAATGTTTATGTACAAATGCTTCAGTTCTGGCCCCAAAACATCTGCAGCCTCCAAAGGCCTCCTTCCAACAGTGTCCCTTTTTTTTCCCCCATAATAGTGGCCACTATCCTACGTTTCTCCTTAACATGTCTTTGCTTTCTAACATATTTTATCATGTACACACATATGTATATATATGTATCTTTAAAAACATTGTTTCCTTTTGCATATTTATAAGAGATTTAATATATATTGTTAAAATTGTGCATATGTGTGTTTCGGTGTATGTCCACATGAGTGCAGTGCCCATGGAGGCCAGAAGATGGTATCAGATCCCTTGGAAGTAAGAGTTGTAGTTGTTTGTAAGCTATGGGTTCCAGGAACTGAACTCGGGTCCTCAACAGCAAGAGCTCTTCATAGCTGAGCCATTGCTCTAGCTCTCTTTTGTATATTTTTGAACTTATTCATGTAGCAACCCTGAGTGGTTTATGACAGCCTTGTTCCTTAGTGTTGTATTTGTGAGACTGACCCACATTGACACATTTTCACTCAGACAAAATTGTCCATCACCTGCAGGATGTAATATCATACTTTATGCATAAACCCTCCGTATCTGACTTGTTTCAAATTTCTTTCCTTGTTACTGATGGATAGGTGTCCTTGCTCTGATTTCATGTACTCATTTTTGAGTGCCTCTCTAGGCTGAGGATTTGGGAGCTGAATTTGTGGTTGCTGTGACATCACTGTATTCCTTTTCCTGCTGGTGTTCATGCTCAAGTGACTTTCTGCCTGGTCTTTGAGTATGGATGTCCCTTGGCTTTGAATGTCATCCATAATGAAGGACAGCTCCTGCTTTCCACCTTACTGGTTGTCTCGTCCTTCCTTCCAGGGACTGTCATGGAATGTTAACTGTTTCCATTTAATGTATTTATGTATGGAGGTGGATTTTGTGTATCTATCCCAGACTCACTTCAAATTCTTTTGATATTGAGGATGACCTTAAACTTCTGATCCTCCTGCCTCTACCTCCCCAGTGCTGGGATTATAGGTATGGAGTTGAAGATCAAATTCTGGGCTTCTCTTGTGTTAGACAAGCAGTTCTCCAATTGAGCCTCATTCCAGCCTCAGAAATGTCTTTATGATGAAACACATTTAAAATGTCCTTTAACATTTAGTGTGGTACCTGTTCTTATGTTAGGTGTATATGATATGTCAATCCTCTTGTGTGCTGGAAATAGAGCTTCCTCAAGAAGTGAATGTGAGCAGCTATCAGGGCCAGAAAAAACTAGAGCTGTGTGCCAAGTACCAGCCACACCTCAGCATGTAATTGAAGTTCAGCAGTCGCCTGCGATGCAGTGGGAGTCGTAGTCCCCAGGCTGGGCAGCCAGCAGAGACTGCCATCACTATAAACATCTGACCTTGAAAACATGACTTGCTTAACAAATCTCTTTGGAAAAGTAGGGTGGAGAGCACAAGTATAATTTTAAGTAGAAGTAATTTCCAGTCATCTGGAAAATGTTTCCTGAATCATACATGATACTTGCTTTTGAGAAAAAATTGGGCTACATTCCTTTTTTTAAAGCTGATTTTAAGTCTTGAGGTGGTGGTGTGGTGATACACAGAGGGGTGATGTGGCTTCAGGATTGTGTGCCTGAAAACAAAGCAAAGAACAAAAATAAGACGGTGCCCAGGGACCTGTGTGTCTCTGCCACTGAAGGCTTATAGGTAGAGACATTGTGCTTCTGAGACTTAGTGGTTGTTCTCACTGCGGTCTGAGAGGGGGAGATTGGGAGGGATTGGTGTACAGGGTTGTACAGGCTGACAGGTCTGGATTCTGGGCAAGCTGAATGAATGCAGGCAGGATTGCTCTGTTGGAGGCAGATATGGCTTTGTGGTTAAGAGTATATGCAGAGTATCTGAGTTTGGCTCTTAGCACCCCACCACAGCACACAACTGCCTGTAAAACTAGCTCCACGGGGACCTTGTGTCTCAGGATACTGCACTTACACGCAAGTGAACAAACATACACACATGCATAATTAAAAATACTAAAAATAACTCTTTCAAAAAACCAAACAAGCCAGGCAGTGGTGACACACGCCTTTAATCCAGCACTCGGGAGGCTGAGACCTGTGGATTTCTGTGAGTTTGAGGCCATCCTGGTCTACAGAATGAGTTCCAGGAAGGCCAGGGCTACATAGAGAAACCTTGTTTGGTAAACTTAAAAAAAAAAAATTAAAAATAAACAGAATTGCTCCTTTGAGAAACCTGTCTACTCTTTTCTCTCTTGATGCCTTCAGCTGACTAGATATGGTTCATTCACACTGTGGAAGGCCATCCGCTTTTACTAAAAGGCCACTAGTTTTCATCTTCATGTCTTTAGAAATACTTTCAACAATGTGTAGGCTGGAATTTAGTCAAGCAGCCAAATGTCATAATGTGGTCAAATTGATAGGTTCAGTTACTTGCCACAGTAGATACCAGTTCCCAAGATTCACCTACAGTTAACGTCACTTAGAGCCTGTCCACACAGCATAGGACAGGCTGTATTTCTATGTGGAAATAACCAGTGACCAAACAGCTCAGAGTCGGGGGCCAGCCTCAGGCACTGTGCACCAGCCAGTGACCAAACAGCTGAGAGTGAAGAACCAAGCTTCAGTTC